ACTGAGAAAACTTTTTCCAAAAGTCATTCTCTATTATGGTAGAATTCTTTTTTTTTTTTTTTAAAGATTTTATTTATTTATTTGACAGAGACATAACGAGAGAGGGAACACAAGCAGGGGGACTGGTAGAGGGAGAAGCAGGCTTCCTGCTGAGCAGGGAGCCCAATGTGGGGCTCAATCCCAGGACGCTGGGACCATGACCTGAGTCGAAGGCAGACGCTTAACGACTGAGCCACTCAGGTGCCCCTATCATGGTAGAATTCTTATAATAGTTCTTGGCAAAGTGCAGTTGAGTCTCTGATCTTTTACCTCCAGTGGAAGAGATCCCAAGGACAGAGAGGATGGGAATATGAGGAACCCATCGTTTTTGTGACAAAAATAGCCAATATTCTGTTATTCATTAGAAAAGATTTTTTTTGTGTAAACATAATGTATTTTGTGTAATGGTATGGACTCAGGTTTATATGAACATTGTTTTTCTCACTTTTGTTCAGGAAGTTTATCGGAATTCTATGCCAGCTTCCAGTTTCCAACAACAGAAACTTCGAGTCTGTGAAGTCTGCTCTGCCTATTTAGGTCTTCATGATAATGATAGACGACTGGCTGATCATTTTGGGGGTAAACTGCACCTGGGATTTATTGAAATAAGAGAGAAGCTTGAAGAATTAAAGGTACATTGGTAAATTAATGTCATATGCTTTATCTAATTTAGCCATCCACTGTTTTGATGTTTATTAGTTATCTTTTTGTATAAGGTTCTTGACTATGAGTCTGCTAAGAACTCATACCGAAAAGTGTAAGATTATAAATGGAGATAACAACTGGTTTAATGGATGATGTCTGAGAAACAGACTTTTAATAATGTTCCCTTATTCTGGGAGGTAATATTTTGTGTTAAATAATGACATTGAATTAGGAGTCTGGCAAACTGGGTTCTAAACTAATTCTTTCATATAAATTCCCCCCATATTTTTATTTTCTTTGAAATAAAATTAACAATATAATATTTAATATTTTATTTTTAAAGATTTTATTTATTTATTTGACAGAGAGAGAGAGAGCGAAAGCAGGAACACAAGCAGGGGGAGTGGGAGA